AGTGGCTGGTGGGTTTGAACCACCAGCCGTCTGGTTAGCAGGCAAGTGTCTTAGCCACTATGGTACCAGAGCTCCCCCGAGCTCCTATATATATGTATATAAACTCAGCACAACATCTAGCATATGATACTCAATAATTGCTTGAGCAACTATTACTATTATTATATTATTACCATTTCCCCTAGACTGTGAACCCCTGAGGGCAGAGACCATTCTAAATTCATCTGTGTCTCACCACATACACTTGTCTTGTCTTACAGGAGGCATTAACAAATGTTTGCTAAAACAGTCACAGAGGCTTGCACAAAACCTGATGCAAAATAACTCATGGGATAGAAGTATTGGACATGGCCAAGGATAAAGAGCCTTGTTGGACCCTGCAAAACCCCAGAAGATTTCTTAACAGGAGCCATTTGTCACCCAGGAGTCAATCTGCAGGCCTACTAGGACCATTCATTTGCTCATTCATTCACCAAACTGACACCAAATTTTCACTTTGGTCCAGTAACAAACATTTGCCTAATGCTCTTTTAACTTATTTTTTTTTTAATATTTCAGAATCTCTTCCATATGCCACTTTAAATTTAGTCTCCACAAAAATGCTTAGAGGTAGATAAATAGGCACTGAAAATACATTTTTTAAAATAAAGAAATGAAAGCTAAGAGAGGTAACAAGATTTGCCTCAGGACACACAGCAGTTAAGGTCACTGCAGAAAGGGAACCAAGGTCATATTCATGATCTTGAGTCCTTTTCATGGTCCCGGTGATCTCAAGCGCATTACAGATCCAGGATCATTCATTCCCACTGTCCAATTTGTTTTTCAACAAATAGTACTGAATTAAATTATTGACAGTGTTGTTTTAACATGTCTCTTGGAGAAGGAAGACTCTAAGTTTCATGAAAGCAGGGACAATGAGAGTCAGGAGAGTGTGAGGCAATGCAATATGATTCTAATCCCAGATTGCTTAGGTTCAAATCCTGACTCTGACTTAGCTATGGTTCCCACTTAGCTGTGGAATCTTGGGCAAATGACTTAACCTCTCTGTGCCTCAATTTTTTCATCTACAAAAGGAGGATAATAATGGTAGCTACCTATGGGACTGTTGTGAGGATTAAAGGTGTTAACACAGGTAAAGTGCCTACAGGAGTACCTGGCACAGATAACAGAGTTAGTTGTAATTGTTATTATTTGTCATGCATCCCCTACACCTATCACAAGGCCTGGCATGGAAGACCCTTAATACATATTTGCTGGATGGATGAATGGGTGAAATGCTTCCTGGAAAGAGGTAAATAAATATCTATGCTTTGAGTATGGATGGGCAAAGCAAAAATTGGAATTGTAGCTCTCAGGAATCTAGGGTCCTTCTGTTCCTTGCTCACATCCAGAGATATGTGGGAAGAGATGGGTCATTCCAGGACTCAAAGCCCTGTCTCTTTCTCCAGGCTGTTTCAATTCTGTTCAGGGGCAGTAAATATAAGTAGTGGTTAAGAACATGGGCTCTTGTGGCAGATACGTAAATTCAAGTTCTTACTCTGCCACTATAGCACTCACTAGTTTTGCACTTAACCTTCCATATCTGTCTCAGTTTCCTCCTCTGTAAAATGGGATAGTCATACCTATCCTGGATTCATGTCACAGAGAGGAGATAATGCCTCCTGTATCTGGCCCTGGTCCATGGCAATAGTGTCCATGAGCCTCACGAGGTCAACAGCTGCTAACTCTGATGGATAGCGTTCTATGGGCTGGGACTGTGCTAACTAAGTGTTTCTCTAGCATGTAGTCTCTCATATTGGTTTTGGGTCCCTCCACGTACTTGTTTGGAGGAAGTATAGCCAGAATGCTTTTTAGAAGTGAGAATGGCCCAGCTCTGTCTCACCTACTTTGGTCATGTTGTCAGAAGAGATAAGTCCCTGGAGAAGGATATCATGCTTGGTAAAGTAGAAGGTAAGCAAAAAAGGCAAAGACCCTCAGGGAGATAAAGACACTGGCTGTGAGGATGGGCTCTAGCTTGGCAATGATGGTGAAGATGGTGCAGGACAAGGCAGTGGTTCGTTGTGTTGTCCATAGGGTGCTATGAGTCAGAACCAGCTTGATGGTACCTAATAACAATAATTACAACGTATTTGTGCCTATTCCAAAGAAAGGTGAGCCAACAGAATGCAGAAATTATGTAACAGTATCACTGATATCACCCACAAATAAAATTTTGCTGAAGATAATTAAAAAATGGTTGCAGTATTACATTGACAGGGAACTGCCAGAAATTCAAGCCAGATTCAGAAGAGCACATGGAATGAGGGTTATCATTGCTGATGGCAGATGGATCTTGGCTAAAAGCAAATACCAGAAAGATGTTTACTGTGTTTTATTGACTATGCAAAGGCATTCAGCTGTGTGGATCATAACAAATCATGGATAATATTGCAAAGGATGGGAGTTCCAGAACTTAATTGTGCTCATGCAGAATCTGTACATGGACCAGGAGGCAATCTGAACAAAATATGGGGATATTGTGTGTGGTTTAGAATCAGGAAAGGTGTGTGTGAGGGTTGTACCATTACACCATATTTATTCAATCTGTATGCAGAGCAAATAATCCAAAAAGCTGGACTATCTGAAGAAGAAACACAGCATCAAGACTAGAGGGAGGAAGACTCATTAACAAACTGCTATATGCAGATGACACATCTTCAGTGAAACTGAAGATGACTTGAAGTATTCACTGACGAAGATCAAAGACTACAGTCTGCAGCATAGATTATGCCTCA